CGGCACCGGGCCCGGCGGCTGCTGGTAGTAGTGGGAGTAGTAGGCGGCCCAGGCGGCGTTGGGGTCCGCGGCCGCGGCGGCTGCTTTATCTGCAGGAAGGACGCGAGTGTGGGGGAAGAAAGGCACCACCGGGAGGTCCCAGGCTGCCGCCCCCGCCGCAGGTCACTTACTTGGGTCGTGAGGAGCGGGCGGTTGCCACTGGGGATAGGTATTGCCCCAGCCCTGAGGCGGGTACTGGTGAGGAGGAGGGCCGCCGGCACTGGGGACGGAAGAGGACAGTGAGTGGGGTGTGGTGGGCAGAGCCTCTGCGGGGAGCCACGGATGGTGGGCGCCGGCGGAGCGCGAAAACCCAGACTCAACTAGGCAGCCCGAGAGACCCCGGCCCGAGCCCGAGGCGGCACCTCGGCGGGAACGCGGGTTACAGCGCGGGGGCAGGCGGCCCTGGGCGTATGGAGCCTCCGGATCGCACAAACCTGCCGCTGTGCCAGGGTGGCACAGGAACTCTGGCGCTCGGGGACTACTTGGTGGGCAATGGGAAGGGGCCTGTCCCTTTCTGGCCAGCGCGGTGACCCTGCCCCAAGTCCCAGGAAGCGGAGAGGAATACTCACTGGGGGGGAGCCCCTGGAGGCCCCTGATTGAAAGGGCCTGGGTTGAAGGGTCCCATGGGACCTGCAGGGCCTGGTCCCCCTGGGCCTGGTCCGACAGGGCACAGCGGACCCTGGAGCAAAGAGAAGGTTGTTAGGTGGAGGAAGAAGGGGGTGTAGGGCCAGGTTTGCAAACCCCACCAAGCGCCCACCTCAATCTTCTCCTCAATGAGCTGCTTCGCATGGTCGATCTGCTGGGGTGAGCCCCGGATGATGAACAGTTTGAAGTTGGGGTCCCCATTGGGCGGCAGCTGCCGGGAGATCTCCACAAAGGCGCCCGTCTGCTGGTTGATGGCTTTCACGTTCTCGCCCCCTGCGGAGAGCGGTGGTGAGTGAAGGCGGGCAGTGAAGGCGGGCAGGCAGAGGGTGCTTCCCGGGGGCAGACTCACCTCGGCCGATGACCAGCCCGCACTTGTGGGTGGGGATGGAGAAGGTCATCTCCCCGCCAGGGGGGCCCCAGCTGCCTTGGCCTCGGCCCCGTCCCCGTCCCCCTGGGGGCATGCCTGGTCCTCCGGGAGGGCCTGGGGGCCCACTCTGCTGGACAGGGAGGAAAGGGTCAGGATACTGGCCCAGCTCTGCACTCTGCCAACCTCCCGCGAGCCTTACCAGCCCAACCAGGACTCCTAGGCCACCTACCCTGAGGCTCTGGAGCAGGTCGTTGATAATCCGGGCCGCGTGCTCACATCTGTCTGGGGGACCCATGATGTGAGCGATCTTCTCGGGTCCTGTCCCATCATCTGAGGCCAGCATCAAGAGAGCAGAGAATGGTTTCAAAGAAAAGCAAAACCCCAAATCTTTGTGACTTCTTTGACCCTGGGGCCACGTCAGCTGCCTGCAGGTCCAGAGCATGGTGCTACTCCTGAGCACCACTCCCTCCGGGGCTGGGGGCCGGCCTACAGAGGGGGGCAGGATAGCTTCTCGACACCCCCAGAGCCAACTGAGCAATTTTCCAAAACAGATTTCTGAGAAGCTGTGTGGGCATGTGTGTGCCTCTGCCCACAGACACGCTGCTCAGAGGCCCTCATGAGGGCTGGCAAGGGCCTGGGTTGGCATGGCAGGTGACCCAGTGTGCCAGGTGGCCAGGCTACCCTGTGGTGCTGGCTGTTTAGGGGAGACAGGAGGACATTCCCTGCAGATCTGGAAAGACCCCATATGGCCACCTTGCACATGGCTGCCACAGATGATGGCAGCGACCAGGCCCGTTCTGACGGCGGGACTGCGCGAAGGGGCCCAGAGGCTGCAGCCTGCCCGCTGAGCCTCACTGCCTTCCATCAGCCTCCCAGGGAGGGCAGCAGACAGGTGCGGGACGGGCCCTCAGCTATGACAGTGCCCCACCGAGGCCCCAGGCTCAGCCCTGACCTTGCTTGAACTGAATCCGCACCCCTGCGTCATTCTGGATCTTCTTGATCATTTCACCGCTCCGGCCAATGACCACCCCGACAGAATGCCTGGGCACCGGGACCTGAGGAGGGCGGGAGACGCAGAGCTCAGCCCACTTCTGCTCCCCACTGGCCTTGAGAGGGCCATTGCCCACCTCCCGGCCCTGCTCCCTCTACCCCTCTGGGCCAGAACTCACATCAATGCCCCCGCCAATCCGAGATCCATACTCATTCCGGTCCCCAAAGCCACCCTGGTCGCGTTCACGGAGGATGTCCATCACCATCTCGCAGGCTTGCTGCAAAGACGCAGGCGTGGTTGGCACGGGGGCAGCGTACGTCCAGTGTGCCCCTGCCCAGCCCACTAGGAGCCTGGCAGTACCCCACAGAGCTCTTTATCTGCCACCCTAACAGGCAGCCCTCTCTCCAGATAAGTAAACGGAAGGTGGGAGCTGAGACCGCTTGCTCGCCGCACACAGCAGGGAGGGAGCCCTTTGCACTTCCCAGCCGCCCAGGACCCAGCTCCGGGGGTGTGCTCACCTGCACTTTGTAAGGATCCCCGATGATCCGCAGGGGCTTGTCCACGTTCGTGTTCTGGGATCCATCCTGAATTAGGATCATCTTCACCCCGGCGCGCTCCTTGACAAGCCAGAGAGAGTAATGGTCAGTGCTGGGCCTTCCCGGGCTGCTTGGAGCTGGGGGTGGGGGTGGGAGGGCTGTGCAGACACGGGGCGGATCTTGGCCACGGCCTGGGTGCCACCCTTACCTGCAGCTGCTTAATTGTCTCCCCTCCTTTGCCGATGACCAGGCCGGCCTTGCCCGCAGGGATCATGATCTCCTGCACCGTGCCGTTCTGGCCCCCATTGGCGTTGTCGTGGAACTGGCCTGGGGGGCCCCCGCGACCCCGAGATACAATGTCATCCAGCATCATCTTCGCTTTCCTGGGAAGAGGAAGAACAGGGTGAGGCCGCTCGGAGGACAGCATGGTCTGGTGCCCCACACAGCACAAAGGGGAGGGAACAGCCCAGATGCCGAGAAGGAGGGCCAGGCACTGGGGCTTGGGGCTTTACCGGATGCGGGAATTCCTGGGACTCAACCTGCCAACCCACCTCTCTGGAGGGGAGAGGGGACACCTGTGGGAAGGTGACAACGCCCTCCTCACTGAGGCCCCCACTGGGGACTTACTGGACAGACTCAGGGGCTCCTGTCAGGGACACGCTGCGCTCAGGTAGGCCGCCACTGTCTAGAGAGAAGAGGAAACGGTCAGTATGCGCCCAGGCCTTACACCTGTGAGGGCTGAAGAGCAAAGTTCCAGCATCCACAGCCGCTCATCACCATGCCTCAGTCTGACAAGTCAGTCTAACTCCCCCATGCCTAGAAGGCTACTCAATGCAAGACCCAGGTCAAGAAACTTTGAGTCCAGCTGGTGTGGTGGTGCACGCCTGTAATCCTAGCACTAGGGAAGCTGAGGCAGGAGGATCACTGTTTTGAGTGCAAGGCCAGCTTGGGCTACATACTGAGCTCAAGGCCAGCCTGAACTACACAGTGAGACTGTCTCAAAAAAACAAAAACTGATGAATGGATAAAGATGCGGTATTTTTATTTTTTGGTCTTTTTGAGACAAGGTCTCACTATACAGTTCAGGCTGGCCTTGAGCTCACTTTGCAGCCCAGGCTGGCCTCAAGCTCGCAACGATTCTCCTGCCTCAGCATCCTGAGTGCTGGGATTACAGGTGCATGTCACCACACTCAGCAAGATGTGGTACTTTTGTACAGTGTAGTACTGCTCTGCTGTAGATATTTCTAGCTAAATGGATGCCCTGTGAGGCCGTATTCGTAAGTGAAATAAATCGGATAGACATGTTTAAATACTGCATTGTTTCTCTGATGTGAAAACAAAGTGTAAACAAGGACCAAACTGTCTAACAGATATTGGGAAATGGGAAGGAAATGTTCAAATGAAAAGAGAAATGGGGGATGAAAAAATGGACAAGAAAAAAGAATAGCAAGAAAAAACGGGAACAAAGCTTTGTAAATAAGAGGAAAAAAGGCTGAAAGGAGGGACGGGAATGGGAAAAAAAGAGGCAAGATGTACCATAGGTATGAATTCCCTATGATGAATGACGTATCAAAAATGCAGCAATAAAATGAAATAAAAAAGCCACACACACAAGAAACTAAAACAAAAGCATCAAAAAGCTTCCAGTCCATCATGGGAGAAGACCAGGTGGGGGAAAGGCAGGCTTTAGGTCTGAATCCCACGTCACTCCTACTCTGCCCAGGATCCCATAAGTCTCGAAAAAATCCGAGAATCCTCAGAAAGGAGTGATGACACAGGCACTTTGCAGCTCAGGAACTCAAGGTTCTGAGGGCAGGCAGATTTGTCTGAGGTTAGCTGTGTGGCCTGGACTGGGAATCAAACCCAGGCCTGACCTCTGTGAGCTTAATCTCACACCCCACTCCATGGCACCTGTTTCTCCTTTTCAGTATTTCTTTCTTTTTTTTTTTTTCTCTTCCCTTTTTCCTTTTTGAGACAGGGTCTTTCTATGCAGGTCAGGCTGGCCTTGAGCTCACTTTGTAGCCCAGGCTGGTTTCAAACTCCCAATCCTCCTGCCTCAGCCTCTGGAGTGCTGGGATTACAGGCGTGTGCCACCACGCCTGGCTTTTTTTTTTTTTTTCGGTATTTCATTTTAGTGACAACTCACGAGACCATTCAGAGGATGCTGCCTGGAATGCGCCCCCCTGCAACAAACCAACCCACCCACCCAGTCATACCTACTCGTTCTAGAACTATACGAGTTTCAGTACTGTACTGAGCCTGGTAAAAAGTTAGCACCCAATAAAAGAGTTAATCTGCCTTCTACAGGGTCCCAGGAAAAATGAAGGGCTTAAAGAAAAGCACAAAGAAGCTGAGCCTAAGCCAGAGCCAGGGTCTACCCTAGACCCACCCTGGCAGGAAGCTGAGTCTCCCATGTATACCTGGAGAGATCTGTACTTTACAACCCGAATCCTGTTGGATTTTGTTAATTTGTTCACCACCTCTTCCAATGACTAGACGGAGAAAAAAGGAGAAAACAGATGAGCTGAAGGAGGCTCGAACTTAGCACACTGGGGTGGGGTTTCAGGGCAGCCCCTTTGAGGGACTGGGGGGCACAAGTCATTCTCAGAGCTCCCCATTCTCCCTGCTCATGAGAGAGAACACAAGAGCCCCTCAGAGCAGGGCTTCCAGGACACCACCTCTCACCATGGAGACCCACACTCACTTAGGCCAACCATGCCATCCGGGACCCTGTACTCTTCTGTCATTGAAGTCCTGCAGAGACAAGACACGGAGAGTCAGGCTCCAATGGGAGGAGGACAGGAGCCTGGGGGGTCTTTCAGAGAAAATGCCCCGCTGGAAGCCACAGCTCTGCCCCTCCAGGCTGCAGACCCTGCTTCTCACAAGCTGGGGACCAAGTCCCCACAGGCCCATGCAGACTGACAGCAAGCCGCACAACTTCTTAGAGCCTTGGTGGCTCTAGCTGTGCCAACAGGGCTGGTCTGGGGCAGCAGCCTGTGGTCACCACTCAGGCTCAGGGTGAGAGCAAGAGCTTAGGAGTTTCTCCAGCAAGCTGACAACCATTTTATATCTCACTGAGAAGTTGGTTACACACGCTATTCCTTTCATTTTTGCAGTGAATCCTGTTTACTGTATTTTATAACACTATCAGCCTGTTGAGAAAAGAAAAGCCATGGCCCTTTCCAAACAACCCGTGTGGGGCTCACCCATATCCACCTGAGGTGGCCAAAGGCAGCAAAGACCACAGGCTTGGCAACACTCAGTGGACCAAAGAGGCGCAGAGATGGACCCTGTGTGCCTGAGCACTCCAGCTGGGGGAGGGAGCGATGCGGCGGAGGCCTCCCTGGGCCATGACAGCCACCAAGCCCATCCCTACAGCCCACACCAGGCAGGAACAGAGCAGATGGGGCTCTCTGCCCCCTTCTGCGGCCATGGCTTGGGAAAACCCCAACAGCGCACCTCTGACAGCACGCGAGATGGGAACGGTGGAGAATGCACGCGTCCTCCACATCACAACTCACCGTGGTGGAGGATGGATGGGTCCAAGCTGAGAACTGATCGCTGTGGACAGAAATCCCGAAGGGAATGTTGGCTGGGCTCCTCTCTGGGGACACACGTGCCTGTCCCAAGGCAGCCCTGCCCGCAGAGGCCAACTGGTACTCATCACAGCGGTTCTGCACCGCCTCCCACACCCGACGGGCCCTGCAGCCCCACCTCACGGTGTTCTGGGATCCCTAAACTCCTGGGGGCCCTGAAACGTGAACACTGTGCACCTCCAGGAAGGAGGGGTGCTGTCAGCTCAGTGCTTCCTGCTCTGGACTCCCCATAACCTCCAGCCCCTGAAGTCGCCTGCACCCATGTCACCCAGTGGACTTACAGTCTCCCTGGGAAGCCAGCTTCTTGCTCTCCGGCTGATCTGTGGAAGAAAGGATGTCAGCGGCTGCACACACCCACCCGACACTGGTACCCCATCGGGGGAGACAACTTCCCCTTCCCTGATGAAAACCCAGACAGAGAAGGAGATTGGTGGTGATGGTGAGGCAGACAAACACACTCCCCTCCCTCAACCCCGCCACCAAGACCCAGCGCTCTTTTCAACAAGTGGACACTGATGACGGCACTGAGTTCTCGAAGTTACGCACCAGGCCGGCCCAGGGGCCAGGGCCTGCGCTCAGAAGAAGAACTGTCCCCTAGGTAATGCTGCATGTCCTGGGGTTGGCCCAACTGTATGGCAGGCTCTGTGGCTCCCCAGCCTCCCACCAGGGAGGAACGACCTCGGGAATTTACAACCTGGCCCCAGTCACAATCAACCTGCCCTCCTCTCAGTCACCGGATACCTCAGGGTGGCAGACAGAACAAAACCGAATGAACAAAGCTGGGCTCACCAAGGTTTTAGGAGACTGCACAGTAGCGCCCACTCTGAGCCCCAGTCCAACAAACAGAAACCCTGCTCCTGCCCCAGCCTCGCCTCCCAAATGAAAAGCAGCAGCGAGAGTTACCTCCATCTTCCAACTGTCTCTTTTGGACCCCAAAACCAAAATCAGGAGTGCTGTTATTCACGGTTGTGGCAGCATCACCTCCGATTTTGGCTGCGATCTGGAAGTAAGTAGGAAGCACAGAAAAATCACCACCCAAACCCAGCACCTTAGCGCTGGCTGGCTGGCTGGCTGGCTGGGGCGAAGGGCCTGCAGGTGTTGAAGTCACCCTCACCGGGAAGGAGATTTCAGAAGGCCTTCAAGCCCTCTAGGAACTCCGAAACCTCCCTTTTCCCTTTTTTGGTGGGATCTGGGCCATAACTGTGGCAGCCAGGCTGTCATCCACACCGATTCTTTTCTGAGGGATCAAAGAAACAGCAGCTCTGGTTCGAGGCAACGTCCTGGGGTCACCCCCAAGAGGAGGACCTCATGCAGGCGCCCTGTTGCAAGCAGAGCACTGGAATGTGTGACTTCAGCCCAGTCTATGCATCCACCACAAGTACAACTTTCCTTCATCTCCCTCACCTTCAAAAGTCTTCACAAAAAGTATACAGAACAGCTGCAGATATAGCTCAGTGGCACAAGCGCCTGCCTGGCAAGCGCAAGGTCGTGAGTTCGAGTCCCAGTATAAAAAAAAAGCATATGGAACAAATCCCAGGGTACATTTTGCTTCAGGACAACTGAAATCTTCATGCGACCAAAACGAAAAACCAACCTCTCTCTCTGAGACAGGTCAACAGACAGCGTCTTTCTATGTAGTCCAGGCTGGCCTTGAACTCACTATATAGCCCAGGCTGGACTTGAACTCACAGCAATCCTCCTGCCTCAGCCTCCTGAGTGCTGTGATTACAGGTTTACAGATGAGGGATACCCCCTTGGCTCAAAGACCCCTTTGAACACACAGGTTACATTTTAGATACATGAAGAGTAACTTTCAAATAAACTTTTATATAGTAAACAAACTTAAGATCACAGCCCGTGGCCTGGAAACCCAAACCCTGAGCTCAGGATCTATCTATGCAACGCTCTCAAAAAATGTATTTTTAAAAATGCTTACCCTGAAACAAATCTCTCGGGATGCTCATGTGGGGCTGTATGTCAGCCCAACCGACAATAGCGACTTCCCAAGTTAAAGCTGCCCCAGAATTAAGACATTCTGGGGGCCAACCAAACCAAATACACCTTACAACCTACTCTACTCTGGAGGTGAGGTAGGCAGAGACCACACCTGGGGAAACCGCTGGCGTCTAACGGATCCTCCCGCCTTGGGAGGAGCCAGTCCTCAGCCCAGAGGCACTGGGACAACCTCGCAGGGCTCTGAACAGCCAGGCCCACGGCCGATCTGCTTCCTGAAAGGGCGGCAAGGTCTGCCCATTCTAAGGGCTAAGGAACCCAGCATGGGACACTTCCTGTTGCCATCACGCCTGAAAAACACGGCGGTGGGACCCTCTCCCTCTTCCCAAAGACACCCAAGTGCCAATACTTAGGCCGTCTTCCCCATCTCGCCCAAACGAACTGCCACTTGGGCACAAAAGGGTCCCCTCAACACTTTCCAAACAAGATGTAGGACCGCCCCCACCAAGTCCCTCTTCCCAGCGCGGACGTACTGGTGGAACTGGGGTCCAACGCAACCCTCTGCCCTGCTGCGGGAAGGGCAGGGGCGCAAAGCGAGAGCCTTCACGCGGGAAGGAGCGCCCTTTTCCTCCGGGGACCGGGGCGTGGGGGCCCTCCGAGTCCACAGGGAGATCCGAAGTGGGTGCCGAGCCCCGGGCCCCCGTACGTTCAGGGGCAGCTCCTGGCGATGCCCAATACGCCCCCGGCACCCGCAGGGGGGTCACTCGCGAGAAACCCACGGGAGGGCCGGGACCCCGCCTGCCACCACGTGACCCGGCGGCCCGCGGCCCCCGCCCCCGGCGACCCC